CTTCTAGAAGACGAGGATTGTACATTGCACATTTTGCCATTGCGTTGCGTTTGCTGCTATCGCTTCGGTGTTCCACATGTAACCATGTTACTTTAACGACGCAAGGAAAATGCACTGCTTTGCAGAAACACGCATGCTCCTCTATCTTTTCTTTTGTACGTTGCAAAACAAAAGCAGAGATGCTACTTGCTACGTGTGCATATATCACTCATTCAGTCGCCTTTTGCGTCGTCACCGTTTGCGTCCTAGGACGCACAAAGAGGAGCCGAGCGGGCCACAGAAACTAACCAGTCATTTTAAAACGCATTGTGCACAAATGAGCTGTCTGTCTTTGTTTCAGAGCCTGCAAAATCCACCAACCGCAGCGTGTCACCTGTCCTCGCACCGCGCGCTCCTTAACTCCTCCCGCAGGCCGCAGCGGATCCTAGCCCTCCGCTCGCCCCGCCGCACGGATCGTACGGCGTCCAACGCGAGGGCAGGCTCCCCTTGGCCCATGAGCGCTCATCGTACACGGGCCACACGAGTCCACGACCCACGCGCTGCGCCTGCGCAACTCGATCCCGCATTCCCGCCCGATCGAGTTAGCTGTCTGGTCCCGTCCCGGGACGAGGAGGCCCATGGGCATAAAGCCATATAAACTAGGAGGGACCGGCAGATCCAAGGTTCCAGCACTAGCGGTGCGCCGGTGCCGCGGCTGGATCCCTGCTTCGGCATCCTGCTGTCTTCCCACGCCGCTACAGCAGCACACCCACCATCCATGCCTTGCCTCCGAGTCCGAGGGGGGCAGTGCCGTTTGATGATTTTTGATTGAATCTCACGGACCACAATTGACAATCTCCCCCGGCGAGCGAAGATTGCGCCGAGTAAACTAAGCGATGATGCCATTGCCCGCTGCCGCCTGCGGACATAAACAAAAGGCAACGGCACGCGGTTGCAGCCTTGCATTGCGAATTGCAACGAAGTGGATCTAGAAGGTCGTGCTCGCCACTCTCGACGCCATGCATTTGCTGTCGCAGCGAGAGTCCTACCAAGGGAGCAGTGCATTTGGCCCACTGCTGTAGCAGCAGCGATGTTTGTTAATGCGGCCATTTGCATACCGGCCGTATCCCTCTGATTTCTTCTGAATGGCGTGTGATGGTTGTAACAGTGTAGTAAGCGGTGAGGTCGATCAGCAGTGAGCGTGTATGTAGAGAGGACGAAGAGAGACCGGTTTCCCGTTGGGGCTCGGTCCTCCGCTCCTCCACGCCTCGAAGGTGATGGAGGGGGGCGGCAGTAGAATAACAGATTGAGATCCTGCACGTTACGTGCTTATCCGGTGGTATTATGCACGAGCGAGGAGGCAATCACAGTGGCTTGCATCCTGCCGTCGTCAGAAGGGACAGGGTTGCACAAGAGGCACCGGCAGGCGGCAGAGCTGAACGCTCATGCACGCATGCACAGTGTTTCTCCTCTCGTCTAGCGTTTCTGAAACCTGTCGACAGTTTCTTGGTTTCAGGACAAAGTTCACCAGCGTCCCGCTCTGACATGCTGTCCGGTTTTACACGCAGAGGGCGAAAGAGGGCCGCGCGGAATGCAACTGAAAATGACCAACCATTTGCTCAGGCAACGTCCGCTTGGTCTGGACATTGGCTTGAAGCAAGCGAGCTTAGCACCTGTTCTCTTCTAACTTCTGCTGACCACTACTTCTTGGTCAGTTCAAGTTCCGGTAGTCGGAGTCGGAGAAGCTTGCTTCAGTTGCTTGTGTGCAAAAACAATAAGGATGGTTGGACGCAACATGCATCTCCAACAGCCATTCGGTCAATCAGTCTAACACCTAATGAAATTTGCAGGATCTGGCATGCTTCTGCTTCTTGCTTAAAAATGGCCTGGACTCTGGAGTAGAGATGGGTATCTTCCTTGACCAATAGTCGACGCATTAACAAACTACCGTTGTGCCGCCTCAGGTCGTGCGGCAAACTACAGCACTAACAAACTACAAACTACTCATCCTTCATCATCACGTGAAACCATGACAGTCTGACACCTAACGAGAGTACGAGTACGAGACAATGCAGTCTGCAAATACATACCGGAGGCACAGTTTTTTGGAACGAATATTTTCTGCTCTTGGATGTCCAAGCATAGCACAGATGTTGTTTTTTATCACCTTTGCCTAAACTGCCTCGGCACTGCTTCCTTTGGCGGGTACAGGACGAGAGCTCTTGAGGTCCATGAGAAACCCAACGAATCATTCCGCGTCGTGCGCGAGTGAGCTGTCCCTGTAGCTCGCCTGATAATTCCATTTTTTCCACCCCCACACCCACACCCACCCGAGATCGCATCGCGCATGAGCGGCGATCGGAGGTCGGGAGCAGGCAAAGGCAGGGCGATGCGACTGTGTGTGGCTCGTCCCGTGTCCACCGCTCTGAATCTGCTGAACCCGCAGTGGTGGATGCTGTACCTGCATGTCTCCCACTGCTGCTACAGCACAAGACAGTTGCCATATGACAACATGCTGATGCTGCTGATGCCCCGGGATCCCCCACGGACAAATCCAGACGACGCTCCACTGCAGCTCTTCTGATTTCCAGCTCCAAACAAACAGCGCTCAGCTCAGATCCGGAGCACTGCTCGGTGCTCTGAGGATTAGTGCCTTGATCGCACTGTGCCACAACCCACCACAGGGGGTCTTTGTTTACCGTGCATGCTCGCAGCAATCTTTGTGCAGGCGGCGGCAATCTGGCTGGAGGGTGGTGGCCACTTGCTTGCTTTGGCACTCGCTGGAAAACGGAGGCCGCGGCGATGAGGTCACGGAGGACGTAAACAGAATCTGGTTGCAACTGAAGACCGCACGGATGTTTACTAGTTTATTATGCTATTTTTATTTTATCTCTGTGCATGCACGGATCGGTATGCGGTGGTGCTGCGAATGCAAAATGAGCAGGTGATGTGATGAGCTGCAAACCGACGCAATTATGCCTGCCTAGGGAGTTGATCAGTTGAGACCAGCGCAATGATTCGAGCCTGGCCAGAATGTTCAGAGTACTCTGCTGTGCTGCAGCCTGCAGGTCTGCGCCGCGCTGCCGCTGGCCGCTGCGCAGAGTAAATTCAAAGCGTGGCACAGTAAATTCGGAAATCCCCTCCTACTGTTCGCGGCGTTTTAGCCGTTTACCGGTGGTTTCAGTGCAGATTTTCTGAATCCGCAGCGGAGGCTTTCTCGGCTTTTCCAACGTGTTCTGACTTTGCAGGACCGGTTTTCCTTTTTAGCGCAGCGCCTCTCTTTTTTTCTGGTTGAATTGCAGGACCGTGGTGAACTGGAAGCATAGTGTTAAAAAATGTATAGTAATAGGAGTATGAGCTAAGCAGAGGGTCAGTGAAGGAGATCAGCGATGACTAATAACCAGAGGCATGCAAAGTTTGAAGCTGAAGCAAGGCTGCAACCTGACAAAATTTTCTATTACTCAACTTTAAGCTAGCCGCTGTTGACTACAATTGCTCAATTCTGATGACCTAGTGATGATCAGGTCCAACTATGGCAGGAAATGGAAATTGTAGTTCGATAACATAATTTTTTTTAGTAGTTCATAGTTTTTGTCGTGGTCAGAGTATTCAGGCTTTACCATGTTAAGCCGCAAAATTCAATTTCAGTATGTGATCAAACTACGGAACTTACACGCCTCGATTCTGGGCAGCAGTGAAGTCCCTCCTCCGGAGTCCGGATTGAAACGAATTTCCTGTACCCATCCATAATCGTACATAATCGTCGCAGTGTCAGATGTCAGCATGGCGTCACCGCTGACACTATCAGTACCCAAAAGCAGGAAAGATTGAAAATCCATGTCTACCTGCGTTGGACTTACATTAGTCAATCATGCAGACTGAGTAACCTAATGTTTGACAAAATCAGGATCACTAATCTTGGCCAAGTTGTTAAAAAATTTAGAGGCAATCAATGATCGCCTTGCCTCGATCCAATTGTGGCATCTAAGTAGACAAATGCATCTCTGATGTTTTTAGTGAGTTGAATCTGTTGACGTCCTGACGAATGGCATGACGGCCACATGCATTGGGAGACTTGCCAGCCTAAGAACAGCAGGGAACCCAACCTCCAAAGAAATGTACACTAAGTAGTAGTAATGTGCTGCTAGCAGCAAACGGGGTTCTTGCTAGCACCAAAATATCTTGATATCTTATCCCACATAATTAGCTCAAGATTGACAACAAAATATTTAGAAGGATAAAATCGCTGATAACACAGATTCGCAAAGATAACGAATAACAGATCAAGTGCACGGGGAAAATATCTTGGAAACAGATAATAGCACATTCATCAGATAATGCTAGGTCTGAGCTCAAATAATTAACGGATTCAGGATCAAGATCGGTAGATTTGTGAGATGTTCAACTAACATGGCAAACCAATCAAAGATCAACAACCTAAGGCCCCATAAGAGGTACAATAATAACCTCTAGAGCAGCTTCACTGGGTCCACACCGAACTGCTTATGATGTCAAACCGGAGAACCAGTCACCTGTAACTGAAATTCGACGAGGTATAGATCAAGAACGAGCAGAACAACAGGGCACAAAGTTTAAAAAGAAATGAACGAATTTTGTATACTTGACTGGAACATATATATCTGGCGGTTCCCGCTTGAGCTCCCGCAATACAATGGGAGGGGAACTTACACTCATCTGAGACTAACATTTCTGTTGTATATATCAATGAGCAATTGATAAGGGGCAAAGGAAGAAATCTGATCTACAATAAAAATTTTCTACAAAAGGTACAATCTACGGGTCCTGCCATGAACAATCGCTGTTGCGGAGATCTCGAAGGACCACCAGGTTGATTATGTACAACACTGGTCCATGTACAATTCAGCAGGAGCACTGAGCATGTGATGTCTTTTACCAAGAAACCACACGCTGGACCAGCATAGCTGGGTGCTTGGGTACCTCTCTTCAGGCCATGTGAGGTGTCAAAACTGCCGTGTAGTTTCAGCAAATGCTCAAGCTGATCACTGATGCGCTGATAAGCCATAATTCTGGAACGACCTAATCTTGCCGTCCCATCCTGCAGTAACTATCACTTGACCCCAGGAGTTTGGTGTGGTCTGGAAACAGTTCCTTAGGAACTTGTACTGTGACTCATCCAAAATTGCACGAATTGAGTGAGAAGGCAGAATTTCCTCTGGCCAGGTTGCTGAACTTCTGCAAGTGGACTCAGAGAACTCCTGATTCAAATTGAAAATACCAGGAGCAAATCTTGACACAAAACTATTAATAGCAGAATCTTCACTGCGACTTGAACTGCACTTAACAGCCTTACTCATGCACCAGAAGTTATCTCCTTGTGGTGACAAAATTTGAGAGGCCAAAGGGAATGGGTTTCTGGGTTTTTGGCCATTCCATGGTATTGCGATGGCTGCATTGTTGGAGTGGAAACGCTCTGAGGACCATATGGTTTTTGCATGTTTCAGTGAAGGCTCATCTTGGTTTTCATGGTTCCATACATAAATATTGGAGTCTTCACTAGCAGAAACTATATGCTGCCCATCAGGAGTGAATGTTGCCAATGACTGGCAAGAGCCAGTTCGGAGTCCTGATTGAATGAATAAAATGATGAGTTAATCATACATAAAATGTAATGATTGCTTAGATCAATAAGAATGAAGGCTAAGCATGTGGACTGTACCACTATAATTCTGAGTCACAATGGTTCCATCAAGAATTTTGATCTTCGAGTCAGCAGAGGTAACCATTAATTTACTTGGGTTGCTTGGGGAGAACTAACATGAAAAATAAAATAAAGAGTCAGAACATAGGAGCATCATAACGAAAAATGACTGATGAAGTAATCTATGCAATAAAAGCCTTCCTTCTCGTGAAGATATTTACCTCAAAAGCAGTAATTCTTTTAAGAGAAGACTTCTTCTTCTTGCCACTGAGTGCAATTTGTGTCTCGAACCTCAGCAGATTATCTGATCCATCAAGATGTAGTTATAGTCAGCATATATGGAATATCATTCAAGTAAAAGCAGAGACGTGCTCAAATGGTATTGAAAAGCTAGTAGAGATTTAACTTTTTTTTTCTTTTACCTGATGCGTCATAAAATCGACAATTTCCGGTAATGGTTCCAACCACTGCTCCCTGCAAGATGTAAAAGAAAAGGAAGATTAACCTCACAAACTACTGAAATAACAAGTTAGCTAAAAAAAACACTTCAGAATGCATGCTGATACCTTTCCATCAGGTCGATAGCAAACCGCTGTTATTATGTCTCTAATATCCACCCAATCAATGACACTGCATCTGGGAATATCCCATACACGGATTTTGCCATCTATTGATCCACTGATGAATCGATTCTCATTGGCTGGATTGAACTGGACACAAGTCACTGCAAAAGTAAATTTTCATAGCGAAATTGTGAGGTCAAATTCAGAAGCATAGTTGAAAACTTTTGAGGCAGCAATTAAGAGACTATAGGCCTACCAAAGTTGCTGTGTGGAAAAACAGTGATGCAGTTTGCAGATCCAATTTCCCACAAGCGAACAGTTTTGTCTGTTGATGCTGACAGTAGACGCTGCAAGGTAGAAAATTTCAATCATCAGAAAGGAAAGGACAAAAGAAAAAAAAAAGCAATCAAACCTTACAAATGAGGGGGATAGCACATTTCATTGTACTGACCTTGTTGTTAGACCATGACAGATTCAGTACATCACCAGAGTGACCACGGAACTCATGCAATGGTTCCTCTGAGATCTGGAACACCATTGTTGGAATCACAACACAAGCAGAATCTGCAGATTGCTTCACGCCCTTGACTTTGCACTTCTTCTCATTGTCAGAATCAACAGGAGCCAAGCCACTCTGGCGATGAGCTTTGAGGTAAACACATGAAGGATCATCCATGGGAATTTTGCAGTCCTCAGACTGCGTGACACCCCAGGCCCTGACAACTCCATCTTCGCCTCCACTTGCAAGAAACTGCCCATCCGGACTAAACTTCATAGTCAGGATGGCCCCAAAATGGCCCTTGATGACTTGGCCTTGAAAAACTGCTGACAATTCTTTCGACCGCTTCCTGTAGCAACGGACCTTGACCCTTTCATACCTTCCACCCCTGTTTTGCTCACTCTCTGAGGAGCTGGTGCTAGCTTCATCGCCTCCATGATCGAGGATACCAGCCCTCGAGCCCAGCCTCCGAAGCCATCCGTTTCTCCTCCTCTCGATCGACTTGGGAACACCAGAAATCTTACCACTGCGGCTCATGAGCCTCTGGATGAAGGACAGTGAACTGAAACTCCTGCCCACCTTGCTACTAGCATCATCCCGGCTGGATCCACTGACAGAATTGTCATCCGAGACACCATCCACTGAGCTCCCCGTCTCCTCCGTGGACCAACTCGACATGGAGCAGTCATTCTCATCCGACTGCGACCACAATCTCCCAAATTCCGGCACAGCCTCCTCCTCCTTCTCGACATCGCCCACAGTGGCCACAGCATCGGCCTGCAGGGGAGCCGGGCAGCACTCTAGGCCCATGCTTCTCACGAACCGCTCCCTCCTCTGGCACACACTGTCGAGGCTTCCCGACCACGGCGACGCCGTGAGCTCCTCTCGCGAGTCAAAGAACGCTTCCTCCTCCATCTCCATCCTACAGCCTACTAGCAGTTGGCACCCCTCCATGGATCTTCAGCACAAGAGCACGGCGCTGCAAGGAGAGAAAGATGAACACATCTCAGAGCCCTGGTCCGGTCCGGAGGCGCGCTTATATAACAGTAAAGCGGCGCTGAATTGGCTCGGCGGCAACTGGGGACGAGAAAGGGAGAGCGGACGCGGGGGGAGCACGGGTTGGGAGGTGGGGGCGATTAGCATAAAGAAATCGCGGCAAATCCCACGCATTCAACTGCACGCATCTCCCAAATCCCGCAGCTCGCACGGCCCAAGCGCTCCTGAGCAATGCATCTGGCCTGGCAATCGGAACAACCAACCGCGCGGCCATTATTAAAGCGGGCAGCCAAGCCAAAAAACGCTGACAAAATTTCAGTTTTTTTTTAATCCCTTCCCCCCCTCTCAAGACCCGCCTAATTCACCAACACATATCTCGAAACAGTAGATTGATGATGGTAGAGGGGAATAATGAGTGATTAGAAAAGGAACAAACTGATGGCAGGGGAAGCTCACCTGGGGCCGGAGGCAAGGAGAGAATTCGCGCGCACGCTTGGGGAGCGGCTGGGATCCGAGAGAGAAAGGAATCGTTTTTGCTAGCCTGGTGGCTCAGCTCAGGGATGCCGCGCGTGTTCTTGGCTCGTGGTCGCCGGCCGCGGCAGCATGGCGCAAATGGGGTGCCGGTGCGTATTATTGGAGGGATTGGATTCGAGCCGACGCGGCAAGGAGAAAGGAGAGGGGAATTGGAGACGACGGGCGATTTATTACGACGGACGTGGAGGCGGAGCAGGAGGAGCTGGCCGAGCTGGGGGTCCCCGTCCGGCCCCCATCATCATCGCCAGAAAAAATAAATCGGATTTAATTTAATTCTGGTAATGCACTGCTGCTAGAGCCAAGAACGAGTAAAATATTGCGCAATTCCCTCCCTGTATTTTATTCTTCTTCTCTAAGAAATGGATCTCGTGAAAATGAAATCAGCAGAGATGTCTCAGATTTCCCTCTTTCTCTTTCCTCGCTGATTCATTTCTCCCTCTGATGACACCTCTCTTCCCTCTCTCTCCAGACGTTTCCGCCACTGGTCCAATGTTGATGCACACTTTCTTTTTCTTTTTTCCTTTGTTCTTCTTTTTACTCGCTATATATTTTCTTTTTTTCTTTTACTTTCTCTTTGGGTGAGTGGTCGTTCTGTACGGTAAAGAGCATTTTCAAGAGTTTTTCAAAACTCATTCCTAATCTTAAACTTTCTGGTCAGACGGAAGAAAAAAAACTATCCTCCAACAACAGCCATGTTCGCTTGTCTTATGAGCCATACTTTTTTAGCAAACAAATAATATTTTTTTCTCACGACAAATCAGACAACCGTACTTTTCAGGCTAGCTTCAACTCTCATCTTTTTGCACCTGAAAAAATCGAACCAATTACATGAAAATATATGCGATAGATCAGTATGTGGAAGGATATAAAGAAGAAAGTAGGACAAGATTCTCAATGCAAATATACAAAACATAAAAGTGGTTACAATGTTTTAAAAATAGTTTATGATTTTTTTATCTAAAATTGTCTTCTATACTTTATCAACGAAATTCTGAAAACTGGCCAATAAATATGCTCTTGATTTTTGTCACTTAAATAATTTATTGATTTATCAGTTATTTTTTTAAACTACTGGAGACACCCTAATACACCTGCAACAACAGCAATAAATCGTGCAGGTCTATACCTGGGTCTATGCACCCTCAGGCCTAGAGGGAGTTTTTTTGTGAGCCATTAAAAAAGATGGTAAAATAGTCTAATTCGTCCCTGAACTATTGTGTTGGGTTCAATTCCGTTCCTCAACTATAAAAACGTCCGATTCGGTCCCTGAACTATCGTGCTGGGCTCAATTTCAAATTTAACAAAGTTGCTTTTTTCTTTTTAAATCTAACCGAGTTAATATACTGCTAAAACTTGGTTTTTTTTTCTGAGCATCTTAAAGACCTTAAATTAAAAAAACTCAAAACTAGAACGCTGTAGATCTTATCGAGAACTACAATTTTCATATATAAAGTATCTCCATTTGACCCCATATATGAGCGATACGATTTTTCCGATGCGATAAGCACTTATACGCAATTAGTATACTGTTAAAACATTATTTAATTTTTTTATCATCTTAATGACCTCAAATTAAAAAACTCAAAACTATAAAGTTGTAGATCTCGTCGAGCTTTTTTATACGATCTTGGATGAAGATGATTTTTATATGAAAATTGTAGCTCTCGACGAGATATACAACTTTATAGTTTTGAGTTTTTTAATTTGTGATCATTAAGATGCTCAAAAAATTTAAATAATATTTTAACAGTATACTAATCGCGTACAAGTGCTTATCGCATTGGAAAAATCGTATCTCTCATATATGGGGTCAAATGAAGATACTTTATATATGAAAATTGTAGTTCTCGATGAGATCTACAACGTTCTAGTTTTAAATTTTTTTTAATTTGAGGTCTTTAAGATTGTCAGAAAAAAAACAAACCAAGTTTTAGCAGTATATTAACCAGGTTAGATTTAAAAATAAAAAAACAACTGTGTTAAATTTGAAATGACAAATTCGGCTATTTTGCCAAAAAAAATCGCAATTCTCTATGAGCTACTGAAAAAGTTCAACGAACTTCAGCGCCACTGCTCTAATTTTTGTTTTGCCCTCCATGTCACTTCCGTCAGATTGAGCTCTAACGGTGTCAAACTATATGTGTGAAAAGTCGAAAGTCTAAATATGCCATTAATTTTTTTAGTATCTTAACGACTTTAAATGAAAAAACTCAAAACTAGAAAGTTGTAGATCTCGTCGAGATCTATAATTTTTAGATAAAAATTATCTTCATTTAATACTGTAAAAAAGATATAATTTTTCTAAGATATATTAATCATATCAAATCATATCTTTTTTTACGGAATTAAATGAAGATAATTTTTATATGAAAATTATAGATCTCGACAAGATCTACAACTTTCTTTCTAGTTTTGAGTTTTTTTTTTTTTTTTATATGAAAATTATAGATCTCGACGAGATCTACAACTTTCTTTCTAGTTTTGAGTTTTTTTTTTATTTTTATATGAAAATTATAGATCTCGACGAGATCTACAACTTTCTAGTTTTGAGTTTTTTTTTCATTCGAAGTCATTAAGATGCTCAAAAAAATTAATGACATATTTAGATCTAAGTGTATTTTTGACTTTTCACACCTACAGTTTGACACCGTTAGAGCCCAATTTAATGGCTGTGGCATGGAGGGCAAAAAAAAAAAAAGTAGAGCAGTAGCATTGAAGTCCTCCGAACTTTTTTAGTGGCTCATGAGGAATTATAATCTTTTATAATGGCTGACGAGGAATTCGCTGTTAAGCCTACTGCAACCGGGTGCCATCGCCGTTGCAGCACACCGACCTGCTCGTGTAATCGTTGCCTGATGCGACGGTCTGCAGAGGAAGAGATCTTTTCCTTGCTTTGCTGCTGATGTGCTGAGGTAGTGCCGCAGTAGCAGATGCGTGGCCTGCCACGAGTCACTTGTGGCAGTAAATGGTAACAGCAACAGTACAGTACTCTGCTCTGCATTCGGCAGAAACTGATGAGTAAACCGGGATTAGGATTAAACCCTTGCCTGCCGTTGGATTTTGAGCAGCGAAAGGGAATACATGTATGTTGGCACAAATTTGGCCCAACTTTGTGTGCTCAGCGAAAGGAATATAAGTCTTGCTTGGAATGGCAATTACTGGGTGCTGGCGCCAAATAAAGACGTTCATCAAAGTGGGGAACAGTTTGATGCACCTAACATGCTACTACCGTCCGCTGCCTGCCTGCCTGGTCCCCTTGCACCGTTGCGCGTACAGGCACAGTGCGATTTCTTTTACCTAGTCACGCAAAACAGGAACACAGCACACTATTTCGCAGAGATCTCTTCTCTTGGCGACTTGGTCTGGGTCAAGCCGTCAGCGGGGGCTCTGCTGCTGCTGTGTTCTTCCTCTATTCCGGTCAGTTGTGCCGAGCACATACCAACTGCTGGTGCATTTCAGCCTGCATCAGCTGCATCCCTTTTTGGACGCAGAAATTCATCAACAGTTACAGTCCCCTCATCGGAGCGGCTAGCCGCCGGCTAGGGTAAGAAGAACGCACAAGCAGTGACGTTACAAATTATGCATGCATGGAACTTAGTCACCTGCTTGTGTGGCTTTTGCTACGTGCATGAGTGAGCAGAAGAAGGAAAAAAAACACAAAAATAGATGCTGATAATGGGCTAGTACGTAGATCGAGCTGTCTGCTAGTTTACTGAACCCAGCGAGCTGGATATGCATGAGTAGATGCATGGACGTATCCATCTCTAGCTAACCCAATAACCCTGCAGTTCCAGAGTTGATTTGTGGTTGGGCAAAGATGGCAACAACGCGAGAGGCGAGGGCGGCACGGCAACAACCCCATATACGCGCCTCCTGCATGCGGCTAAGCTTTTGTGTTTGTTTGTTTATCCACGGCCGTCTTTGCACGAAAGCTGTTGCTCTCTGGGAGGCTACCGGTTTCAGAGTTATCCGGCGTCCCGGTCTCAGTCGACCTCCGTTGGGACAGGAGAGCTTCCGCCGAAAGATTTCCCGGTCACGGCACCGGAGGCTCGGTGGTTGATCAGGTATCCACTTATCACCCCCCCCCCCCCCCCCCCCTCCAAAAGATGAGGCGGCAAGCATCCAGTTCTGTCCACCAGATATTTTAATTCTCATCGTTGAGTCAGTTGGCAATTCTGATACAGTTTCGTCAGAGCTTGAATTATCTGAAGAAAAATGTCAAAGCCATTCAGCGATAAAGCTTCATAGTCTTATGTCATCTCTCTATAACTACTGTATAAGAAGCAGGTCTAGTCAGAGTTCCATCTTTGGTGTTCTGCCGTTCAGTTTGGACAGTATAATCAGTTGTATTCCTGTGCTGGTTCCTTCACTTTGATAGTGACAAAATATAT